GCGATCATTTCCGCATTTGGTATGATGTATTTCTGTTTGCTTTCTTTTTTAGGTTCTTTGCCACTGCAGTCGGAGTATTATGGTTTATTTGCCCTTCTTCACTCACTTGAAATTCCCTTTTGAATTTGTTTATTATTATTATTCCTTTATTACTGAATAAAGTTTCTTATTTCTTCATGTTATTTGACACAGAAGATCTGTAGTTTCTGGGTATCTTTGAAGACCGATTGCTGTAGTTTTGTAAGACAGTTATAGTTGAACTAATCCTCTCCCTCCTTCGGATCAGCGCACTTACAGATAACCAACATCAGCCTTAGTATAATGCATGCGGTGGCAAGTGATAAGCTTTCTCGTTTGACATCCATTCGTTTAATAAAAGCTATGGTCCAATTAAGGATGTTGAAACTGTATGACGCCACAGGGACAGCCAAAGTGTTTATAGCTGATATTCTCTTTTATGAATTCAATTCGGTATTTAACACCAGACGCACACATTTGTAGTATTCGTTTCTTTCTCCTTCATTTGGGTATACTGTATTCCATCTCCTTCGCTGATTCCTAGGTATTTATAGGCTTCTTGTTCCAGTTCCCTAATCTTTGTGATAAAATCTAAATCTATTGTGTGTTTTTCTGTAATTCTATCTCCCTTGAATATTACTTTTGCACATTTATCTCATCCGAAATCCATATTTACGTCATCACTTTACAGTATTGATAGTACCCTTCAATTCAGTGTCGTTTTGTCAAAGAGTGACATCATCCATGTAGAACAGATAATTAAACACTTATTTTTTTTTACTTTATATCCATCGTTATTACTATTTAGTTTATGCAAAAGGGGTTATTACGGACAGATGGAGCCGAAGGAGTGACAGGGAATCTCCTCGAAAGATTACTCGTCGGATAACAAGTTGGAAGTGGTAGTACCATTTGTGTGATTTAGGTATAATCTGGTTTTCCTCAATTCCATGTAGTATTTAAGGAAATTTATTATCACAGAGAAGACTTTGTACATTTCCAAAGACTTTATTATTATTATTATTATTGTTATTATTAATATTTAGAGAAGAGAGCGATTTAAGAAAAGAAGAAGAAAAAAGACAGCTTTTAACAATGTTCAACAATATTTTGACTCTAAGTCATCAAGTTATGTTTAAAAATTGCATACAAGTATAAAAAAAAATTACAAGCCATTGTACAAACGTCGTTTATAATGAGAAAAACGGTTGTATTGGTAATCAACGTGACAAAACGAATGAAATGCAGTCAGCGTGAATGGAATGCAACTGAAACGTGTGTAGTTTGATGGAGTTCGTACTCATCTTTAAAATTTCCGCTAGTTGTTAAATTTGTAAGAGCAATTAATGAAATAGTTTAGTAGATATCTTATTGAACTTTCCTGTCATTAACCCGGTAATCTTATTGAACTTTCCTGTTATTTTGTTCATTAACCGGGGAATGGGACGTTTGTAGTTTGCATATGTAATTATTTTCATACGTTTTAAGGGTCGAAACATCAGTGGATTGTGGGTATTTTTTCAGAATGAGCACCTTAAGATGTTCGTCGAAATTACGGCCGTTTGTGATAAGATGTTCTGTAAGCTCCGTTGATGTCACATTGTTGTGCCGGGCCTCATAACTGTCGTTATCAAATCTTTTGTTTAATTTTTCCGTTGTGCAACCCACATACATCAAGTCATGTTTGGTACATTAAGCCGCGTATATCAAATGGGAATCATATTCTGAAGAGATCTTAATTATTTTCTTTGAATTTTTAATGGGATTGATTTGACTCATATTATTGCACAAACAACATGGTTTTCCCCTCCTATGGCAATTTTCTGGAGATCACCAATCGGAAACTCCAATGTAGTTTTGAGCGTGATAGTTTGCATTCACTAAATTCTGTTTGATGTTATTATTTTGTTTGAACGAAACGATAAATCGGTTGGGAAGAAATTCCGATTATTCTTGCGAACTATTTCCATGGCCGTCGTGCAGTATTTTCGAAATACCAGCAAAATTTCTGTGCTAGTTGATGACTGAAGGGGTTCGGTCAGAATTTTGATTGCGTTTTTCGGGATTTAGATCTGGGGTAAAATTACGGATATCTTTCTTTTCACTTATTTTATTGGTTTCTTTTCCTTTGCTTTCTACTTCCTACAATTATTATTCTTATATATATATATATATATATATATATATATATATATATATATATAGATAGATAGATAGATAGATAGATAAATAAAAAAAAGAAAGCCGTTGACCAGTGTATTTCTAGTAAAAGAGACGTTATCTTAAGGGAAGTGGAGACCCTACCAGTAATTATTATCGACAGGTGTTATCTTAACGACATAAGATATGCAAATGACAATGTGTTGGTGGTCAACTCGGAAATGAAACTACAGGGTTTCCTAGACAGGGTAGTAGAAGAAAGCGAGAAGAAAGGACTAACGACCAACTGCAAGAAGACAGAATGTATGGTCATCAGCTAGAGAAAAAAAACCCCAAGATACGAGTTACAAACAGGAAATGTCAACCTCAAGTAGGTGCAGAAGTTTAAATATCTGTAAAGTGTTTTAACAAAAGATGGAAAATATGACAACGAGATCTGAAGAAAGCTATTGGCTAGTGAAAGATGCTTTCCAAAAGCTAAGCAAAGTACTGAGAAACGGAAAACTTTTCTGGGTCAGACAGATAGGAAGAAGCATCGATCCATTTACATGAAGTGTGAATGGAGAGCGGAACGTGGTGGGGGCGGCGGAAACCTATGCAAAAAACCTGCTAAGGAAATAGAAGTCGTGGAGAGCCGTGATCGACTATGTCCTATTTTCACTACTAGACCGCCGTTACCATGGCAGATGTTCCACCATCTCAGAGCTAGGAACGATCATGCCGTCGTCATGGCATCCCCGTTCCATTTGTGTTTCTTTGATAAAAAGCAAGTTAAAAAGCTTCGTCCCCAGAACTGTTTCTTTGTGAAACAAGCTTCCAAGAAAATGCTTCCCTGAACTAGAACAATCTTGAACTCTTTAAGTCCGGGGTCAACCGATATTGTATTCATCCTCATAATACTTTCTTACTCCCCGTTCCTTTCAATCACACTCGGTAACCCTCTATCTTGAGTAACCTTGGAGCCTTGTATTGGGTCAACTATTCAATGTCCTAAAGGGACGGGGCACATAGAAGAAGAAGACGTTCTATTTGTAATTATAGTGCTCAGTATCAAGAACATGAAGAACAATAAATAAAAAATAGCTTACATTAGTTTATAAAGTGTGTTCCAATAACTTGGACCGATTTTAAATGTGAATTAAGTTTAAGCGTCTAATGATTTTTTTTCTTTTTATTTCAAATTTAGCAACTTAAGTTCAATTTGAATTGAATTCTAATGATGTCGAAGATTTGTGGTTCCAACAGGACGGCGCCACTTACCACACAGTCAACGCAACAATGGCTTTATTGAATGAGAAATTCCCAGGTCGCATCATCTCTCGAAACAGCGAAGTCAATTCGCCACCACGATCGTCCGACTTGACGCTTTTAGATTTCTTATTTTGGGGTCATTTCAAAAGTAAGGTCTATGCCAACAAGCCAACAACAGTTCAACAGCTGAAGGATGAGATAATAAGGCATACTGGTGAGATCGAGAAGCAACTATGCAGAGACGTCATCAAAAATTTTGACCATCGTATGGCGGTATGCCACCGAATCCTTGGCGGACATTTGGGCGATATTATTTTTCACACATAATTGCGACGACTTAAATAAAATGGTCCAATAGTGACATAAATAAATGTTCCCCAATAACATTGATTTATTTACTGCTGACTTTGATCCGTCTTAATGAAACACCCTTTATTAGAATGTATTAATTATCATATATTAGTGTCATATATTAGTGCTATACAGTTATGTGCGATCATGTATCTTTTGATACATGACTGACGGGGCAGATTTTTTCCCGCAGTAGGTTGCCATTTCTTTTTGCGATAGACCAGTTTCCATCCAAGGTTATAGAACACGGTCTGTCCTGCTATTTAACCATAGCTAGGAAGTGGGGAAGAAGAGGATTCATACCTTTCTCGATGGTATTAGCATGTAAGTGAATGTAATGGATTCGACTAGAATTCGAACTCGGATTCCTCAATCCGAACCGCTATCCATTACTCCACTGCTCGTCAGAGTGGATACTAATGACTTGCGAAAATCTGGTTAGGTGAAAGATAACTGGACATTTGATTTATTTGTTGCTATCGTTTTCCGATGACAGAAAGATTATATTAAATCAATTGTTTGGTCTGTAACTTGGGAATTTGGTTCACTGTAATGTGCTAGCCATTTTTTTTTCGGCCGAATCTATCTTACATATTTAGAAGTCTACCATACATCCTTGCTTTGAACATTACTGCCACATCTGGTCTGGTGCTCCTGGTGTATATTTTGAGATTCTTAATAAAATGTAAAAAAGAATCTGCAAGATTATTGGCCCTGACCCGATATCTCGTCTTCTGTTATTTTCCCACTGCCGTAACGTAACTTTCCCGTGCTTTATCTAAAGGAAATTTCATCAGAACAACTCACATGAAAGTATTTTTGATGGTAATTGTTCTGGTGAACTTTCCTCTATGTTACCAAAACTTTATGAATTTAAACGGAGTACTATATTGGCAGCAAGGTCTCATCCTTTTATAGTTGAAATGTCAAGATGTAACTGTAAGTTCTATGACAATATCTTACTTCTTGCTTGTAGAACTCGCTCCTGGCTTCTTGCTTCCCAGTTAACTTTGATCAGTAAAAGTTTAAATGCAATGCCAATCATCGTCTTTTGTCGTCTTAATTATGGTTCTTTTAGTGTTCTCTTTCCTTAATAATGTTTTTTTCCCAAATATTCTCTATCACTGGGTAACCTCTTGTATCTTAGTGGCTTTATTGCTTTGCCTGGGGTGAAATAATTAAAAAACCTATTCAGATAGAGGAAAAAGTATTATCAACCTCTATAAAACTAAATAAACAGAGACAGACAGACAGACAGACAGACAGACAGATAGATAGATAGATAGATAGATAGGAATCGCCTGAAATAGATAGATAGATAGATAGATAGGAATATCTTGAAATAGATAGATAGATAGGAGCATCCTGAGATAGATAGATAAATAAGTAGGAACACTCTGAGAAAGATGGATAGATAGATAAATAGATAGGGATCGCTTGAGATAGATAGGGATATCTTGAAATAGATAGATAGATAGATAGATAGATAGATAGATAGATAGATAGATAGGCATAGCCTGACATAGATAGATAGATAGATAGATAACAAAGAAACTTGGGAATTCTTAGGACATTAATGTATACATAAGACTTGAGAAAATATAACATAATCGATTGATAACTGATCGATAATTGAACAGGTTGAGAAGTAATTACTATTTAAATATTACGACATGAAAAATCAATGAAGGAGTCTGTAGGAAAATTCACTGCATTTAAGGTAAGTTGGTAAATTATGTGGGAGAAAAGATACTGAAAATGTACCAATTTATCACGCGAGATGGGGAGAAAGAGAGAGAGAGAGAGAGAGAGAGAGAGAGAGAAAGAGAGAGAGAAAGAGAGAGAAAGAGAGGAGGCGATCGTGATCGATAAATCTATATTTGCATAGCTATCAAAGTTCATTAAAAAGTTCGTGCAGATCTTTCAACTGATATGAAAGAAAATGAAAAAAAAATAGCAAAATAAAAAAAAATAAAAAACACGGAAAATAATTTCTATCGTCTTCAGAAATATTTTCCTGGCGACATACAATCGTCTGTTTGCACAGCTTGTATTAAAACTTAATGCAATGTTTTGATTCGTTTGATGCGCAAATTCAATACAAGTTCTCAGTTGGTCACCACCAGTACTTACAGTTTATTTATTGGCTTGAAATTATCAACATTTAAATTTATTTTGAATAAAGTATTTGGGATTAACATATTTTTTATAACAATAACCATTTAATAACATTATCCTTGATTATCAAGAATGTCTTTTCCTATATATATATATATATATATATATATATATAGGTAATTTAGTTAATTAATTAGGTTAATTAACTTACTAGGTCTGCTCTACTCACTGTATTGAGCAGTTTATTTAGTTGTTTTGCTTATTCGCATCGGTTTTTTTTTCTTTGGGCTTTGGACTTGCATACTAGACGATTATTTTCGGCTAACGTACGTGTTCTTGGTTCTTTCTTTTTTTATATCTTTTTTCCCCTTTGTTATTAGTTTGATTACTTGCAAATCAAGACACCGAGGGTTTTCCGAACGAGTATAGTTTCTTATAAGATTTCTATTAATAATAATAATAATAATAATAATAATAATAATAAGCAAAAGTAACTTTCAAGAAAGGTAGAATTACAGAAACACCCTTAATAGATTTAGATTTTGTCACAAAGATTAGGGAACTGGAGCATGGTGAAGCTTATAAGTACCTAGGAATTAGCGAAGGAGATGGCATACAACACCCCCAAATGAAGGAAAAAAATAAGAAAAGAGTACTACAGGCGTGTACGTCTGGTACTAAATACTGAGCTAAACTCAAAAAACAGGATATCAGCCATAAACACATTGGCTGTCCCTATGGTGCAATACAGCTTTAATGTCCTTAACTGGACCATAGCTGAAATTAAGCGAATGGATGCCAAAACGAGAAATCTGCTCACTTGCTATCGCATGCATCATCCCAAAGCTGATGTCGATCGTCTGTATGTGCCCAGATCCGAAGGAGGCAGAGGATTAGTTCAACTAGAACTGTCCTACAAAACTACAACAATTGGCCTCCAAAGATATTTGGAAACTACAGAGGACTGGATGATGGTATGCGTCAAGGAACATGAAAGTAGTAAGCGTCTCTACTCCGTAATGAAAGAAGCCAACAAATACAAAATGGAGTTTCAAATGGGCGTAGAGATGCAACTACAGCACAATACACCGGCTGAAACTGCAAAATACCAAAAAATGACAGCAAAGACGAATGAAACCGACCAGTTACAGAAGCGATAGCAAGATAAACCGCTTCATGGCCAATACTCTGCCCGTACAAAACAAGTTGACGTAGACAAAACCCGTACAGTGGCTACGTAGTGCAGGGTTGAAAGCAGAAACTGAAGGTTTTATCCTTGCTGCGCAGGACCAATGCTTGCTAACTAGGAATTATCAAGCACATATTCTAAAATATTGTGTCAGCCCAAAATGCAGATTCTGTGATAAATATCCAGAAACGATTGATCATCTTGTATCAGGTTGTACGGTGTTGGCACCCACTGAATATAAAACCCGACATGACAGAGTGGGCCAATATCTGCACTGGAAAATCTGCAACTTCTACGGGAAGAAAACTGAAAGAAACTGGTATGAACACCACCCAGACCCGGTTACGGAGATAGGACCTGTTACAATTCTATGGGATTACACAATACACTGACAGAACAATCAAGGCCAACCAGCCAGATATTGTTATTAAAGACCACAAACAAAAACGGTTCCTCCTTATCGATATGGCAGTCCCTGCTGACTGCAATGTATCTTTGAAGATATTCAAAAAGTTGTCAAAGTACAAGGACCTTGAAATAGAAATCTCGAAAATGTGGCATATGGGAACATCAACAATCCCTGTTGTAGTTGGAGCCCTAGGACTGGTTGGAAAAAGATTGCAGTAGACTAATTGAAGAGATTCCTGGAAGTCCATGCCTCAAGGAGATACAAAAATTGTTCTGACAAGTACAGCCCACACCTTACGAAGGGCTTTATCTATGTAATTTTTTTTTTTTGTCAGTGGAAAGTGTCATGACGCCATTTCTAAACTTAGGTCCCTGGGCGGGACCCGGAAAGAAATGTGTAAACGCCAGAAATCAAAAAAAAATAATAATAATAATAATAATAATATATATATATATATATATATATATATATATATATATATATATATATATATTTGTGTATTTAGGCAGCAATCCTTCTTTCATGCACATTTCATTGAATACAAGGTGCTTTGATTTAGTTTTTATACAATTTCTCATGTGATCTAATATTTTTTTTCTTTTCGGATGATAAATTATATAAAAACTGTCCAATTGTTCCTTTTATCCAAGCGCTTTCGGCTATACATTTGGCTATTTTCAAGGTTGAGATATATTAACTGTTAATAAGATTGTTCTAAGTCTGTATTTATATAAAACACGGTCAAGATATTGTGTCCAAGTTCATAGTTGATATTATTGAGTGTTTTGGGTTTTTTTTTTATCAATAAGGCTTCCATTATTTTTAACCCTTTTTCACATGCAGACGATACTATTATATGTGTTTTTGTCAACAAGTATGTTACAAATAGGGTCCGGTAAGTCTCCATGAGAATTTAAATGAGACCTAATTGTGCTATGGTCAGAAAGGTGTAGAGTGAGTCTGCGTGTCAAACATGTAGTGTGGTCTATATAATTGTTTACGAATTTTGATTGATCAGGAATACAATTCCTTAATGGACATTTAAATTCATAAATAACATTTGTCCTATTTAATTTTGTTCTCATTTTTAACTATAAGGTTAGAAGTTTTAATTTTTTTGGAATAAATAATATACTTTTTTTTTGCTATTGTCAATTGGTGTTGTGCATTTTTTTAAATACTCATGGAGACCTACCGGACTCTATTCGTAACATGCTTGTTGACAACACAAATATAATAGCATCATCTGCATGCAAAAAAGGCTAAAAATAATGGTAGCCTTATTAAAAAAATACTACAACACTCAATAATATCAACTAGGAACATGGACACAATATTGTGTTTTGAATATGAAAACATTATATAAATACATACAACAATCTATTTCCTGTTAACAGTTAATATGTTTCAACCTTGAAAATGGCTAAATGTATAGCCGAAAGCGCTCGGTTAAAAAGAACAATTGGATAGTTTTTATATAATGTATCACCCGAAAAAAAAATAAAAAAAATATTAGATCACATGAGAAATAAATTGTATAAAAAACTAAATCTAAGCACCTTGTCTGTAATATTCAAAAGAAATGTGCATATATATATATATATATATATATATATATATATATATATATATATATATATATATATATATCAATAGTCCGAATAATGTAAATCTCTCTCTCTCTCTCTCTCTCTCTCTCTCTCTCTATATATATATATATATATATATATATATATATATATATATATATATACATATATATATACATATATATATATATATATAAAAAAAGAACAGCAAGATATATAATCTGGTGTTCTTATAGATATTTTCATTTTTACAAAATAGTGCTCAATGTAAATTTACAGAGCATTAATATTATAAATTGATTTATTTAAAATATGATCTTTCCGCAACACAGTTCTAACCATGTTTTAAAAATGGAAGCTAAAAGCTTCGAATTTAATTTTGTAATTAAATTAAAAACATTTCGCTCGAGGATGAAATCCTTTATTTAATTACAAATTAAAAAAACATTCTTCCTTTTATAAACATGGTTAGAACTGTGTAGCGAAAAAAACATATTTTAAATCAGTTAATTTATAATATCTATATGTGTGTGTGTGTGTGTTGCATATATTTTGGCAACATGTTTTCATTGAGTCATGCTTCATTGAGTAATTTAAACAAGTTTTCTCCTTATTTTCAATTGGATCCTTTTATATTCACGATCAAGCTTGTCATTATTAAAGGAAACAGTATTCTATGGATGGACGAATGGTAAACTTATAGATATGTAAGATATATTCTGGAGACAAAAATTCTCTCGCACGACACAGTGGGCCGACTTTCTTAGCAGCTGGCCTCACAATAGATTCAGTATAATTTTTCGATTTCATCTTTTTGGGAAATTTTAGCCCGAGAAGACGCAACAAGTCTCTCTTCTGGAGGTTAGCATCAGCCATCATGATGGAAGACAGAAAGAGCTTTTGGGAACACCGTCGTTAGGATTTAGACAAGTGGCCGTTCAGGATTACTCTATGTTTCACGATTTATTAGGAAAGACTTAATAGGAAAGTCTGATCCGGAAACACCGTAACTTTTCAGCTTGTGGAGGAGACCTGTATGGTAAACGTCAAAGGCTTTCAAGATGCCCAATGCTACAGCCCGAACTTCACCCTTTTATCAAGAGCAGCGTTTCTCAACCTTTTTATCCTTGCGTAACCCTTAAAATAAATTACATGTTTCAAGGAACCCCTGCGCAAAAACAAAATTATATATCATATCTTTCTCATTTTCATCGTAGTTTATGTGGTAAATGTCATAGTATATATTTTTGAATAACTTGTTTAAAGAAAAATTAATACTTCTTTGTCAAATTCTTCTGTAAAAATAAAGAAAAACAAAGAAATAAGAAACTTTAAGTACATGTCCCGTTCACTGAGTGGGCACTGACAAGTGAAAGTCGTTTCTCACTGACGTACAGACATCACTAAATATCAATGATTATTATATTTTTTAATAACCTCAAAGGTTTAGATAGGATGATGTAGTTAAATTCCCAGATGAATTTTGTGGCCAAGACAGATTGGTATCAAATGACAATTGGAAAAAAATCTTACATTCTGCCGACGCGTTTCGTCTTCCGACTTTTTCATATGATGTCTCTATTACAATATTACAATA